TGACAAATCATCTCCGTTCAGAATCGTTTTTCGTATACAATGATACCTATCATTGCATTCAAATTTAATCCCATCCATTACAGTAACTTACTGTATTGCAGAGCGACATTCACGACTTACCCGCTTTTTTTTATTTTACAATAGTATTAAGATATAGAGATGTAAGACTGTAATTGGCCCGACGCCCGAAGAGGGGGTCTATCCTAACCTAACCTAACCTTAGAGGCACAAAACCTGTGCAAATATTACACAAATATAGGATATAACCTTTTAATAGTTTAAGAGAATTAAAATCATACCACTGAAAACTTTAAATGTTCCATCAATTATAACAATTCATCAGCATTATTAAGACTTCTTTTATCTTTTAACTGTGGGATGCATCGCACTTTTTTATATGATGTAACAAAATGAAAAATTATACTATTACTTAATTGTTATTCAAATTCTGTACAAATAAACAAAGGACATATAAGAAGGTCAAGATTAAACTTCCCAGCAACTTTCAAAAGCGCCAAGAAATAAAACAAAAATATTAAGAAAAACGGGAATTTTAATACAAAATTGGGTTTCGGCAATATCGATTTTAGTTTATGGCGTAACTCAGTTATGTATGTGTAATGTTTATACTAGATTTATATTATATAACATGAGATTTTCAAAATATTTTGACTCATGTCGGGCTTTTTAATAGGCATATGAAATTTTAGATTTTATTGGTTTATTTTTAATTAATATAATGTTCAAAAAAAAAAAAAATCTCTGTCAAAAACTTAAAGATATAAAAGGTTCGTCACAATTTTTTGTTAGTAGAAATTAAAAAAATAGAAACAAAAGTTGGACATAAATCCACAATATATTTTTATGTGCATCAGAAAATTACGAAAGATTACGAAAAATTGAAAATTATTTAATAATTATATTAAATTTATAAATAACATTTATATTTGTATCTAAAATTAGAAAATGTAATAAGTACAAGGTTTTTCATGATTTTGTCTACCTTTTATAAAAAATTAAAAGTCGTACACGGTAAAGTCAAATTAAATTATAGTTATGTGATAACATTTGAGTTATGTATTCGGTTCATACCCACTTTGCCGACAACTCSGTTTGCCGACAAATATACCGGTTTTTAAATATTTTAAAAACATTCCCATTTCGCCGACAGTCTAGTTTGCCGAAAAATTATAAAATATATAGTTTTAATTTTTCCGATTCGCCGACAGGATGTCGGCAAATTGGATTTCGGCGACGTGGGAAGACACGATATTCAATTTATCATGTTACCTAACTTAATCTAACTTAATCTATTTTTGATCATTATTAGCTTTTTTTAAATTAATATCGATCAAAATTTATTTGTTAGGTAGAAAAACTTGAAAATTTAATACAAGGCTCCTAACATTATTTCAATAGCAGTTGAAAAATAAAATAAATTCATAGCCACAATTTTTTTTTTATAAGCATTCAAAGTTTGAATTTTGACAAAATGCGTAAAAATCACGAAAATTCGCAAATTATTTTAAGCTAGAAATTCATAAAAAAATTTCTTTTTAAATCTAAGATTTGATAGATTTTAATAATCTATAATATATCCTAGACAAATAAATCGCCTTCGCTAAGAATCGTTTTTCGTATACAAATATACAATGATATAATATCATTGGTTTCAAATTTAATTCCAACCATTACAGTAACCAATAACCCACTTGTAACCTACTGTACAGCAGAGCGACATCCACGGCTTACCAGCGTTTTTTTAGGAATGAAAATGTTTAAATCTTATGAAGGCAGTGAAAAGTAGAAGGGTAAAAATAATATTTCCTGGAGTTGTTTGACAAAAAATACAACTAATTTGATATAATTATTGATTAGTTACTCTATTTTTACGAATTTACGAAAAATGATTTATAATAATATAAAAATATGAAATTATACAATTTAGATTTTAATAAATAATATATTTATATGTTTTAAATATTGTTCTTTTTACTTCGATTTTTTTTTGTTCTATTTTCCATGTTATTTTTTCCATAGTCTTTTTTACCGATTGCCACCAAGAACGGCAAGAATTAAGATATTCGACACATTGATTATCAGTTTACCACATATTTTTTTGAATCGTGTATAATATAGCCATAGCACAAGATTGTAAGATTGTAGTTTTCCCCCATAATCGTCAGCTCAGAAATACCAACCAAACACTTAAACCGATGCACAATATATTTTAATCGAATCGATATCTGCTTTCGATGTTGACGAATTCGATTTTCGATTTATTTTTTATTTTTTTACTGACAAATGATAATTGACAAAGTTGTCAGTGGAAATTGGACGGGGTAAAGACTGAAGAGAACCAAAATATTTTAAAGTATTTACATTTTACAAATCATTAGGGACACGTATCGCAAATCGCAATTCACAACCACCCGCCAGTCGCCGGATTATAATATTATCGATGGGCTCTGGCTGCAGAGCCACATTTCAAATTTTTACTGTAATAAAAAATCGTGCCTGCAGCTATATTTTTTTTTTTTAAATTGCGATTTTATCAAGGGAAAAGGACCGCGGCTCGAGGAGCATGATTAAAATTTTAAGATGGTATCTTGAATAATCGTGTCGATAATTAAACATCGACTTGTACAATTTTTATGTATTTTTTATTTTATTGTACCGTCCGCTGGCACTTATTTATCGCGTCCCAGGACCGACGATCGTACCGTCATCACCGGTCGCTACCGCCCACCACCCACGGGCCGCGGTTCAGCAATGCTGCAGCCTCACTCGTCAGTAGCAGTGGGGCCTGGGCGCCACAGCAGCACACGTTGCCTCAGTAGTCAGTAGCTCAGTGGCCAGTGCGTCAGTAACACTCACACCGCACACTCACTGAGTCACACACTACGCACACGAACACACGCTCACATCCAGACGGTGCGCACACACACGTACAGCGTACTATCATCGACGAACCGCACGGCGCACACGCACGCACACGCCACACACAGACACAGCATTGCACACACGCTCGTGCACAAAGATACAAAGACATATCGCGCAATTTGCAGCTGATCAGTGATCTCACGCATTCTCATTTCTCACCAAGTACTGAACTTCCACTAACTCTCTCTCCGGCGCTGAGATTTTCTCACAGACATGTCAATATGACGGCTGTGACGATCGAATCTGTGAATAACAATAATTATAACAACAACAACAATGAAAATCCATGCAATATTTTCCTCGTGCGCCGACGTACATCGTATTATCGTTTTAGACACAATTGAGTCGTTGAGCACGATGTAGAGGACGGCCGACACACTTATATGTGTATATATATATATATTTATGTATATGGAAATTATTTATATATAATATATATATATATATATATACATATAGCGACGAGAAAAATTAGCACATATTGTGAGTATCAAAAGCCTTATGTAAAGGGGTTGAAAATAATGTGTACGCATAATATTTTAATACTATTACGTACTGAATAACATAATATTATAAATAGTTCGCTTGTTTGACAGTGGTTGCGATATTTCTTATGCTCACTTAAGATGGAAACCTAATATTTTCATTTTAACATAGTATTTACGTGTATGATGTAATGGCACTATGGTAGGTGCCCCTTCAATAGTAGTTAATAAACTAATATTATCATAATAATATTATTGTTAGAAGACGACACTAT